TGGAGACGTTGCCGTGAGGCGCGCGCGCGGGGCGTTGTGGGGTTTGTAGTGGCGGGAGGGGGCGGGGCCACCTGCCTGGGTACGGAGAGAGCCTGCACCGGGAGCCGGGCCAGCAGTGGCCCTGGCGGCCGTGGGGTCCCCTGGGCCCGCGACAGCGCTGCCTTCCTGGAGGCCCCGCACAGCCCTGCGTGCCTGGCCTGGCTGGGCCTCCTGCGGGGTGGCTGGGTGGGAGCCTCGGTGGCCTATGCTCCCCTGTGTGCCTGCACACCTGTGTGCTTGTGCCCCCGAGTCTGCCGGCATGATGTGGCTCTGCTCTTGCACGTGGGCCCTGAGTGCCGGCTGCAGCCCGTGTCCCCACCAGATACGGGCTGGGGTCTAAAGTTCAGAAGAACACCTTGTTCTCAAGTTCAAAAGAACACTTCTTTATCTCCTGAGATGCATTGCAGTTTGTGGTCTGCTGCTTCTTGTCTGGGTACCTTGGGGGATGAGCCTTCAACTTTTTCTGAAGGGTCCATGAAAGAGAGCTAGAAAGCAAAACCTGTTGTCAGTGGCTTTCCAGTTGGTCTGGAGCAGTCTGTGTTTCCATTCAAAATTTTTTTCCTAAAAAAGCATGAAAGGTACCAACAGTGGGCCAGGAGCCTTGTAACTGTGGGAACATTTCACGTTTTCCTGTTGTAAGCAATGTGTACTTTTAGCAGTGTACCAGCTTGAGTGCTTAGATCTTTTGATCAAAGCTTTGGTGTCGGTTAAGTGTTTCTGAAACGATAGAACAGGAAACCCCCATGCTACATCTCCCACCCCTTGCTTCCTGTTAAGTACATGTGTGGGAGAGAGAGAGAACATGGTCAAGACCAATAAGTGCATCTGAGAGAAGAAAAAAAATCAGTGTAAACAACAGCTGCCACGCTGGAAATTAAAGGTCCTGATCTCATTTGATTTGGATAGCAACACAGCTTCCACCATCACTGGCTTTTCATCAGCAATAGCAGCAAAACCAGCAGCAGATAGGGAAAGCAAGGAGGCGGTGGAAGAAAGAGGCTGGATTGTTCAAAGCAAACATGCCTACAGAAGCAAATTTCTTGATCCTCAAAGGTAGGAGGCAACATAGTTTTGTAGCCTGAGAATGTGAAAGAGAGCAAGAGAGCAATTTTATGCCTTATGGACTCAGGGACAAGCAACATTGACAGAGGGCTGGTAGAATGTAATTGCACTGAAGATCTTGAAAGTACCTTGAAATGGTTGTACGTGAAGGGGTTGGTACTGATGGGGGATCTCACTGCAGTGTGCGTACGTGAATTCCCAGGGTGTCAGACTCCTGCCAAACCGCGAAGCAGTCACCGCTCCAGCCCGCGGCAGGGATGCTTGTTTCTGCCCAGCACTTCTGTAGCGGAGGCGTGGCAGGCTTTCTGCCCCTTAGCACAGTAAGAAGAGATGTAAGGCTGGGCTCACAGAGGTGCTGAGTCCTTGTGGCTTCCAGCGGAGGAAGTTCTGGGGGTCTGGACCCAAGTGAATAAGCTAACATTGCAGATAAAGGGGAATTGTGAGTGCTTAATGTTGGTAGTTTGAACTCTGCTGGTTAAGTCTTGACACATGCCTGACCCAAATTCTTTGGATGGGAAGAGGAGTAAGAACTTGGCAAGTCTGGACTAAACACTCCAGCAGTGTTGCTGCCTGTAGTGAAAAGACAGCTCAAGCTGAGCTGGAAATGTCTGTCGGAGCAATGGTGGAATTTCAGGCTGGTAGGTAGCATGCATGGTACCATGGGGAGTGCCCCTCTCTCCTGTGCCATTCAACCAATCTGCAGTTGCTCTTGTAGCAAATCCAAGGAACAAGTAAATGGGGAAGTAATTGTGGATGGGTGCTTTTACTGATGAACTATCATGTGTATCAGAGTATTGAGTGAGGTGGCATTTTCTCACATG